ACCCGGACTGTTCACTTTTCTCCTTTTATTTTACTGTTATATATTTTGTTTCTCTTTATTAATATCTTTTTCTGTGTATTTTCTGCACGTTTCTTTTATTAAAGGACCTTAAAAATCGTTACTCTTATCTCTACGCTCTAAATACGAACTTAAAGTCTCCTTGCCTCTGTGAAGAGCGCTACTGTACAGTGATCGGTCCTATTCCTCTATGAGGGGACAGAGGTATCATAGACTGTACTGTATAGTGATCAGTCCTATTCCTCTATGAGAGGACAGAGATATCATAGACTGTACTGTATAGTGATCGGTCCTATTCCTCTATGATAGGACAGAGGTATCATAGACTGTACTGTATAGTGATCGGTCCTATTCCTCTATGAGAGGACAGAGATATCATAGACTGTACTGTATAGTGATCGGTCCTATTCCTCTATGAGAGGACAGCACTATCATAGACTGTACTTTACACTGATCGGTCCTATTCCTCTATGATAGGACAGAGATATCATAGACTCTACTGTACAGTGATCGGTCCTATTCCTCTATGAGAGGACAGCACTATCATAGACTGTACTGTACAGTCTATGATATCTCTGTCCTCTCATAGAGGAATAGGCCCGATCACTATACAGTACAGTCTATGATAGTGCTGTCCTCTCATAGAGGAATAGGCCCGATCACTATACAGTACAGTCTATGATAGTGCTGTCCTCTCATAGAGGAATAGGCCCGATCACTATACAGTACAGTCTATGATAGTGCTGTCCTCTCATAGAGGAATAGGCCCGATCACTATACAGTACAGTCTATGATAGTGCTGTCCTCTCATAGAGGAATAGGCCCGATCACTATACAGTACAGTCTATGATAGTGCTGTCCTCTCATAGAGGAATAGGCCCGATCACTATACAGTACAGTCTATGATAGTGCTGTCCTCTCATAGAGGAATAGGCCCGATCACTATACAGTACAGTCTATGATAGTGCTGTCCTCTCATAGAGGAATAGGCCCGATCACTATACAGTACAGTCTATGATAGTGCTGTCCTCTCATAGAGGAATAGGCCCGATCACTATACAGTACAGTCTATGATAGTGCTGTCCTCTCATAGAGGAATAGGCCCGATCACTATACAGTACAGTCTATGATAGTGCTGTCCTCTCATAGAGGAATAGGCCCGATCACTATACAGTACAGTCTATGATAGTGCTGTCCTCTCATAGAGGAATAGGCCCGATCACTATACAGTACAGTCTATGATAGTGCTGTCCTCTCATAGAGGAATAGGCCCGATCACTATACAGTACAGTCTATGATAGTGCTGTCCTCTCATAGAGGAATAGGCCCGATCACTATACAGTACAGTCTATGATAGTGCTGTCCTCTCATAGAGGAATAGGCCCGATCACTATACAGTACAGTCTATGATAGTGCTGTCCTCTCATAGAGGAATAGGCCCGATCACTATACAGTACAGTCTATGATAGTGCTGTCCTCTCATAGAGGAATAGGCCCGATCACTATACAGTACAGTCTATGATAGTGCTGTCCTCTCATAGAGGAATAGGCCCGATCACTATACAGTACAGTCTATGATAGTGCTGTCCTCTCATAGAGGAATAGGCCCGATCACTATACAGTACAGTCTATGATAGTGCTGTCCTCTCATAGAGGAATAGGCCCGATCACTATACAGTACAGTCTATGATAGTGCTGTCCTCTCATAGAGGAATAGGCCCGATCACTATACAGTACAGTCTATGATAGTGCTGTCCTCTCATAGAGGAATAGGCCCGATCACTATACAGTACAGTCTATGATAGTGCTGTCCTCTCATAGAGGAATAGGCCCGATCACTATACAGTACAGTCTATGATAGTGCTGTCCTCTCATAGAGGAATAGGCCCGATCACTATACAGTACAGTCTATGATAGTGCTGTCCTCTCATAGAGGAATAGGACAGAGATATCATAGACTGTACTGTATAGTGATCGGTAGACATCACAAGTCCAGAACATCACACTTCCAGGACATCACACTTCCAGGACATCACACTTCCAGGACATCACACGCCCAGGACATCACACTTCCAGGACATCACACGCCCAGGACATCACACTTCCAGGACATCACACGCCCAGGACATCACACTTCCAGGACATCACACTTCCAGGACATCACACTTCCAGGACATCACACTTCCAGGACATCACACGCCCAGGACATCACACTTCCAGGACATCACACGCCCAGGACATCACATTTGATTTGTATAAAGTGGAACTTGCGGCTTTCTTTTGATCACATGGTATTTGTTTGCTCAGAATGGTGTTCGGTTTGATGGTTTGATGAGGTTTTTCTATCTGCAGATGTGGAGCTGCGATGGGGACCTGACTCACCCCATTATATCCTAACCTATGCAGACTGGAGGGAGCAATTCTATATCATTACAGAAGACATTAGCATTTCAACTGTGGCAGCAGGCAGATGGGGGATGTCTGGGTATAGCCAGGATGGCAGATTTGTAGGGCACAGCTAAAGATGTGGTGCTGAGGTTCTAAAGTTGCCCATACACCTTACAACCCTCGCACTACTTTTGTTGTGCGAGGGTTGTAAGGTCATTAAAATTTTGTACGACCTTCCCATCATGGACAGGCAGATCATACTTGTGATCATCGCAAGGGGGGGAGGAGTCAGGAGGGCCCCACCCTAGAACCAGTCTGTGTGTCTGGCAAACTGGGGGGAGCGGATCACCTGTGTGGTGAAAACCAGCCTGATCGTGTTAACGTCAATATTCTGTGAATGTTTTATCCAAGACAATGTTACAAATTCATAACAAAGGGGTTCACATGGTCAGTACGTGATGACAGTGCAATGGGGTCAATGGAGCCCCCATCGCAGCTCCACATCTTCTGCAGGCAGAAACGTAATGACTTTCTCCTAATTCAACAAGGTTTATTTATCAATGTTTTCACCTAAGATTCACACACTTTGCACCCAAGATTCACCTAATAAAAATGTGTGAATCTTGGGTGAAAACAATGATAAACAGACCCGGGCCATTTCCTGCCTTTTTTCTACACTTTTTACTAATTTTCACTTCAACTGATTTAGAATAAAAATGTATTCAGCGGCTCAGCGGCAGCAAAGTTAAAGATTTCACTAATACAAAAGAAAGATCAATCAATGCTGTGCGCCTGTAATAAAGTGTAACTATGCACAAGCATGCAGCATGCGTATATATCAGTGATGTTCAGTACCTCTGGGTCCGGGGGAGGCATTCCCCAGCCTCACCCTCCCCGCGCTGGCCGAAGCCCGCCCCTGCTGGCTGAAGCCCCGTCCCCAGATGGCCTCAGTAGGTTTTTTCTTTTTTTGATTGGACAGCTTGGACCAATGGAGCTTTCCCATTGGTCCAAGCCATCCACAGAGCTCACGCCTCTAACACAGAGTAGAGGTTGTGACAGCTCTGACCTCACCAAGTTAGGTTACACAAGCAGTGGGGAAGGCCGCTGCGGTGTAACCTAACTACCTGTCAAAGTCCGGATGCAGCGCCGCGTGTAAGTAACATCCAGCACTCCGTCCATGAGAAGTTACACAGCGGGGGGGGATTTCCCTGCTCTGTAACCTTTTACAAGCCGATCTGAATGGAGAAAAAGCTGTCAGCTTCGGACTTGAAGCTGACAGCTTTTTCCTCCATAATACTAGGTGAGGCTCTGCCCCCCCCCTCTCCCCTGACCACATGTCCCTGGTATATATTAGACCCGTGGTAAAAGTCTGATTGGGCTGGAGTGATAAACAGAAGGGATGAAATAATTTACCTCTCCTGGAGAGAATGCTGTTCCAAGCTCTCTCCAGTGCTTCCCGCATAAGTCTAGTCATGTAGTTCAGGCTTATGGCTCTAGACTACGGTTGCCACCTTTTCTTCAAGCAAAACCCGAACACTCTAGCGACATTACAGACATTTTTTTGTCGCGGCTTTTTGATATTTAAATAGCGCTGTCCATTCATATGTATATACCACAGT